CGCTATAAAACAAAATTCTTGAATTTTTTTTCTTGTATTTATAGTTCATCTGAACCTGTAGAAGTTGGAATCACCGGATCAGATTAGATAAAATTTTTAGTTAATTTCCATAATGCCAATTTAAAAAATATATTCTCACCTTACTTCAGTTCAATCATACCAAACTGATCTGTTATGAAACAATGCATCCAAGTTCAGTTCAGTATATAAATTGATAAAAAAACCAGGAAATTGTATCCCCTCATTGACTTGAGTTTTGGATCATTCACTCCTTCAAAAGCAATCTTCATACCGCACACACATGTAGTGACAGAGGAGAGGAAAATCTGTCCCTTAACAGGAGGAAACCTCCAGCAGGACCAGAGCCTGGCTCAGTGTAAACTGCAAACTGCCACGTCCGATTGGGCATTTGAGAAGATGCGGCAAAATGCACAAAATGAAATAGACGAACTGATCCAGTAGTACCTTGTATGTTAAAGAAAAATGAAGTTGACATGTGAGAGGGAGAATGTTAAGTTGTTGGGAGCATTATCTCAGCTGTTGCCTTCCACCCGGAAGGTATCACAGCCAAACAGAAAGCCAGAGCAGTTGCCTCTCCTCTATCTTGCTGCAGCTTATCTTATGGTGAGCTGAAAGTGTAAAACTTTTACCAGAGAAGAACCTTTGTGAACCTCTGCAGTCAAAAATGTGACGGCAACAAAGAAAGCAAAGATGTGCTTTGTCTGTAAATGTAAAGACCATTTCCAGGTGACAAAAAGTCTGTTGCCAGGACACCCATTCTATGTGCACTCTTGTAAAAATGACATTTGTGATGTTTTGGCAATAAGAAAGTCATAAGAGGTCCTGCTTAATATTTGAGATGATCCATGTAGGAGATACTGTAAGCATGTAGAAGAAGAAATGAAACTTTTTAAGCCTGTGTGGCCAAAAACTGCACATTGTTTTCTAGTGGGAGCATCATGCTGTGAGGATGCTTGTCTTCAGCAGAGCTAAAAATTGCCCAACAATGCTTTAAGACAACCTGTTAGAGGCAGCACAAGACTTGAAACTGGGGTTCACCTTCTAGGAGGACACTGCCTCAAATTTACAGCCGGAGCTACAATGAAGTGGTTTAAATCAAAGCTTATTGGACCAAAGTCCAGAACTAAAGTTTGTTTTGGTTGTATTTACCCAGAATGCCCTGCACTACAGTCCACTTTCTGCTTTTGGATCGGATTCGAGTTCACTTCAACTGAACAGAGACCTAGGTTTATGGGTGGACCAGAGTTTGATGTGCATTCACACCTTCTCAAGCAAACTGGACTTTCTAGACAAACAAGCTAGAATGCACCCTATGACGCAGAGCTGGATAGCTGACCATGAAGCTGGTCAAAGAAAGCAGTAGGTCAGTGGAAGGTCTCTAGTGGGTCACACAGGCTGTTTGGAGGTCGGAGTGCTCTGTGTGGCACACCTTCTGAAACTAACCTCCCAGCCACTGATTGGACCTCAGTGACGACACGTCTGCAGATCAGGAGCAGATGTTTCTCTCTCCCCTGAGTGGTGTAAAATGGAAAACTGGAACATGATGACCTTGTCATGTCAGTGAGCCATTTTCTTAACTAACTGTGTAAGATTGAGCATCTGGGTTGGTTGCAGACGTTAGGGGGTTTTATAAGCGGACCCATGCCGCCTCATCTGGCCCAGAGGGGGGCTATTTGCCCCTCGTAGGTGCTCAGGTTTCTCTCCAGCTGTCTGTGCCCTCAGCTGTTTCTACTCTGTCCCCTGTGATGTATCCTACTCAGATCTGCCCCTGCCTACACACTTTCCTTCTCCTCTCTGACTTTGCAGCTTCTTCAGTTCAATTGCTGTTGTCTATCTTGTTAGTTTTGTTGTGTATTAGCTGGGGAGTCTGGAGAAAGCGTGAAGACATGGTTACAACTGCGTTGCGCTCTGTTGTGTGAATGCATTCGGTTTTCCTGTTGAGCTCAAATTGTCCCTCCCCTCACTCCACCCCCCTGACGCTTGAGCTGCTGTTTAACTAAACCGGAGAGGGACCTTGGACTAGTCCGGATCTGAGGTGCAGACCTTTTAAACAGATCAAAGTTGTGCATTTTCAGTCATTTATACTTTATTAAAGGACCTATAAGCTGGTCAGTTGTCTGGCCAGCTTACACTGACCAGAAAACTGAAAGTGCTTGAAGTTAAAACACTATCTTTACATCATATTATGAGCAATATGGCATATAGCTGCTCAAAGAGTCTGTACAGTAGCTCCATTTACATGTTTGCATGGTTGAAAGGTCTTATCAGACCAGTCCATGGTGGAGCAACCACCTCTCACCCACGTAATCAGTCACATATAAAAACCAATAGTAGTTTGCCAGGATGAGCTGGCTGCACAGTCCTGTGTCAGCACTATATATTGTATCTTACTAACGTTGTATATCCAGATGATAATCTTGGATTTTCTCTACATCTCATATACTAATGTGGAGTAATTTGTATTTTTGATTACCTTCTCAGTCTAGAAACATTGAAAAGACGCTAAATGTGAGCCCAATATTGGTCCAATATCAGGTGGATTTTTGTGAATCAAGTATCTGAAAGGTTATCATCTGGATGTTGCCCTCAAACTGCTGACAGATTGTAAATGACACTGGGAAACTAGGGCAAATTTCATGCTGCATTTTCAATCCAAGTACAGTACAGACGACAAACGAGAAGTTGTGAAACCAAAATATCAATCCATTTCTTTTCACATTGCAGTCCTTTGGTTGGGTGGTAGTAGCTGTAGCTACTATTGTAGCTACACCCCTGATTTTTAGACATAAATTTTCCTCTTCAGCTTCCTATGTTTAAAACCTCTTCAATGTCATGTATTACTTCCCAGAGTATGACTTAATACATGTTTTAGGTCTGATGCTATGTTGACCCAAATTAGAGAAAGGAAACGCACTTTACCAATTGTTTTCAATAATTTGTTCGCTCCTTAATTTCTGTCCATCCATCCGTTCGTCCGTCCAATTTTCTGACATAACTTGAAGCTTTCCTCCCTCAGTAAGAACATCCACACAGAAGGTGGTTGTTGTTAGTTTGTTGGCATTTGATTTTGATGCATGAAGTGCCTGTTCTGGTGGACTTTGTCTGTTCGTCCATCCTGTTCGTTTTCCTTTCTTGTTTGCTTCTTTTGTTCTGGCCTCTGGTTTTCACAGGTTTCATAAAAGACCTGAATACTGCAAATATCTCTGCCAAAACCTCACCATGAACTTTTTGTGCTAATGGCTTTAAAAGTTAGAAAATTTGGAGAACGGAGTATTCTACCAACCCACATAATTAAAGGATTATATAGTAATACCTCTGTAAATAGGTGCTTAAATTGAAAATGTTTCTTTATTTAAAGATTAAGCAAAAGGTTTCGCAAACCTTTTGGCTTCATTGTCGCTCCATTTATTCCTCCCCACAGTAACAATCGTTATATTTAAGTTTAATCACCTGGAGTCAGACCCTGAGAGCAGTGAACCCACACAAAACCGAAACCTTCTGAATGCTTTCTAATATGCAGGCCTGTTCACATCCTGCTATTAAACGTCATTAGCATCATGTGCTAAGTGTTGGTGTGAGTGTGTACACTGTGGCACTGTGGGTTTAGTTGGGCTTTTTAGCCTCAGCCTGACGCCCACTCTGCTCTCATCATGGAGCCCACTCACAGACACATCCTGTCAGGTGGTTCAATGGAGCTGCACATTAGGGTACAGTTTGATGCTACGTCTCTCTCCTTTTGATCATCTCATCTCCCTCATTTACTTGCCTTTTACCATGGTCAGTCAGTTGTCATAGTAACCCTACCAAATGATAGTTCAAAAGATGTATAGGCAGATGGAGATAAATGAAAAAGAAATAAATTCTTTTATTGAGATAAATGAAAAAGAAATAAATTCTAACTCCAAGATAAATGGATAAGATGTTCTTGCCTCAGTTAGGTATTTAATCTAATTTAATGATAACACCCCACTTTGACAGAAGTGGTCTATTGATACCTGATATACTGAAAGAATGTGAAATGTTAAACTCTCTTAAGCATCTTTTTTTGCATCCAGTTGCATTACTGGATGCAAAAAAGTGGGGAATACTGAGCCTCTTTTGCCAATCCCTACCATCTTTTTGGGATCATACTGCACTTTTATCTCACCATACACGACATTTTCAATTCTGCTTTTTCTAATGGATGTTTGGGCCAGTTGAATCTTGTGAAATACAAGATTATTACCCTTTAAAGGACAAGGTACTGTACGCTTTATTGGATGCTGATCATCATGATACGTTTCTAGTTTTGGCCTTTTTTAGGGCACAAATAGAAATTGCCTCAAGATTTTCTACCAAACGTCAGTTTGTCCCGTCGACAATTAATTTCCTTCTATGTTTCATTTGGTGCCCATTTAAAAAAACAACCAGCCTTTGTGTATCACTTTATTCCCCTGGTTAATGATGTGTTTTGATGGATTATGGATAAAAGCAGACAGAAGAGAAAAGCCAACTAAAGATGGTCTTAGTTTGTGTGTTCAGGGGTTTGTCGGATGATCCAGTCATCTTCATTTGTAATGTTTCCCAATTTTGTGGGCATTCAGTACTATGAACTATAAAGAAACCTGATCATAAAAGTTAGAATACAGTCGGCTCAAATTTAATTCGACAAATTGTGACCTTCAGCCTACGATGGTCATTTTGGTCAGTTTCATTATTTTGCTAGTTATGCATTTTGATAAATAAGAAGATGAATGCCATCAAAATTCTCAAATCAGATGTAATGGCCATTTTGTACTTACATATAAAATAGTTTCATATCCATGTACCCAACCATCAAGTTATTTCACTTTGTAGGCAATAAATGAGCGACAGAAGTTGGGTTTTCTTGGATTGTAGGAGGATCCTTTTCCTAATTTTGTGCGACATGCATCGCTAAACCTTCCATATCGGAGGCCGGCTATTCAGTTTCTGTATTCAGTTTTTTTTTTCCTTTGCAGGACACACTGAAGCCAACATTCACTGTAGCCAATCTACCAGGCACAACGAGCAGCGCCCAGTCCACGGTACCCACCACCTCCACCACCATGCAGGTGAGCACTGGGGCGTCGTTTCCCATCACCAACTACCTGGCGCCCGTCTCGACCAGCAGCAACATCAGCGCTAATGGAACCGTCCTCAAGACGGCCGGCGCCTCAACGGGAGTCATGCAGCTTCCCAGTGGCTTCACCTTCATGTCCGGTAAGTCCTCAGCAGTCGGTGCTCTGTTCAAATTCTCCTTTTTTTTATTTTCTTACCTTCATCCTGTCCCTCCATGTTTTGCTAATGTCATTGTGCAGTGAAGCTTATTTGCTGATTAGAATGTGAACGGCGCCACAGCGTGACCTCAGCCGTCATCTTCAGGTGGTCACGCCTACTCTCTGAGCATTTCACATCACACTGCAGCTTTTCATAGCGAATCACCAACACTCCAACACAGTCACCTCGAGTTTAACAAAGCCTGTGGTATCCAAGGGAGACACGTCGTCTGTTGGCCACGGGCCCTACCTTTGATAGTTAGATAGGGACACGAATAATTAAATGAGAGGGACACAATAGACCTGGCAAAGAGGGCCGATGAGCAAGCCCCATAATTAGTTATGAATATTCAGTTAAGTGTCTCTGGTTTGTGGTGAAATTATAATTGAGGCATTCTGGAGTTTGATCCTGTGTGTCAGAGTGATGCTGAACTAGGAATGACCTTTTCATTGACGGGGGACTCCATGGACACAAACTCTGCACTTGATCAATTCTGTGAAGCAGCTTCTGGTTTGGAAGTCCCTGGAGGCTTCCTGAATAGTCTGTCCTGTTATTATTCATTTCTTTTCAGGTCACAGAGACTCCAGAAGTATAAATAAGAGGGGCACTGATTGTTTTTGCCGGTTGTATACTTCTTCTACCAGCATATGAGTAAGCAACTTAGGCTACATTCACAAAGCAGTCAAATGCGATTCAAATCTACTTTTTTGTGCTGTTATGTTGTACTAAATCAGATATGTTTTTAGTCTGAGCGATCAGGCCACTTATTATTCATCTTTTACGTCATTGATACGAGACTTATCATAATTTGGCACCAGAAGATTCATAATTTGGTGAATCTGTAAACAATGAATTAAAATTATGATGAAAGACGTCTGAGTCACTGAAGTGCATCTCATCACAATCCCACTACTCTCGGTTCCGACTACAAACACAAACAGACTTCTCTACAGGAGTTGCAGTCAATATTCCATAAAGCGCAATCTTTATTAGTTGTGCTTTCTTTTTATCAGCTTCCTCCATCTTATTATACTGTGAATATACAGTCGGCTACTATTGCTGAATAAACTTTGAAATGGCTCCATAGACACAAACGTTATGGTAGCTCTGTTATTTCAACGTTCTTGACATTACAGGTCGTAAACCGTTCACACAGAAGTCTGATTGCGGTCACATTTAAAAAGTAGTATCAATGGCCAATGAAAAAAAAAAGATATAAAAAAAAAATCGTAATTGAGCATGAAGATCAACTGGGTGAATGTGGCCCAGTTCATGCCAGCAGTAGCTCCTCTTCAGTTGGGAAGAAGCAATCTGTCTGCTGGTCAGTTTGATTACAGGGAGAGGTTTTCTGTCAAAGCACCAGCTGTCCATTAATAGCCTATTGAAGTTCAGGATTTATTTAATTCGCAAATATGAATGCTATAGTTTAATCGAGGTGTAATTCTGCAGATGTGTTCAAAAATTGAAAACATTTGGGAATAATTTGCTAATTACTTTTTTCCAATGATATAGATGTGTAGAAAACAAAAGAAAGCACTAACCTGGTGCCATTTTCAAGAATAATTTTTATTGAAAATATTTTAGTATTTTTTATTATTGTTAGTAGGAAAAAAGTAGCCTTTATGTGATTTCTTTAGTTCTTATAAAGAAACTAGAATCTTTGTCAAGTATTAATTTACTTCACCTTTTGTGTTTTTTGCAAACTGGTCTTTCTGCTATCAGCGTATCTTTTCATAAAATACAGTTGAGTTATTGTCTTGTGCTGAAGAGGTTTCCTGTTGCATTAAAAGCTCATTTTCTCAGTATCAGCTGTGGTGATAAAGCAGTATTTGTGGACAGACACATGTTGCTCCTGTAGTGGATGATTTGAACTGACGGGGGAACAAGCTACTGTCTCTGCTCAGATTTTTGTTTTTATTTTTCTTTTGCCGGCTTTCTCTCTCCCTTTGCAACCTGGTTCCTCCACCCTCTGCTCTCTTGCTTTGCTGCCTGCTCCCTCTCTCCCCTTCACCACCTGTCTGGCACATGGCAGCAGCACCAGGTGGAACAACACACTCCACACACACACACTCAAAGCTCCACGGTTGACAGCTTGATAGGGCCTGCCCACCCTATTGCAGCAACTGCGTATGGAGCATAAGACCACTTTAGAATCTTGTTCAGAAAGGAAATCTGTAGCCTTCTACCATCACAGATGGATTCAGAAAGAATTCTTTCATTCAGATTCATGGAAAAGCATGCAAATATGCTGTTCAAATCTTCATTAGAAGTTTGTGTTTTTACCCTGGTGTCTGCATTTTGGAGATTGTCGTTCTTTTTCTGTTGCCAGAAACATTTTGAAGGCCATTAAAGAGGCAGGGAGAGGAGGGGGAGGACAGCTCTGTTGAAAATGACAACCCAAAAGGACAACAAGCCTGAGTCAGAGGAGTTTCAGGCTGTTCTGCTCATCCACAGTTGGTGTGGCTGGTTGCTATGTGCCAACAAAATGAACTTTTACTTTTACAGCTCAGGATCCTTAAACTTGGATGTGGAACAAATCTTTTTTGTTATTGTTTCAGGGTTCTAAGGAGAACTCGGTGTGTTAGAAGAGAACATCAGCAGTTCATCTTGTACTGTTATACAAATTGAAATTAATTAATTACTCTCCTGTTCCCAAAAAGAAGATGACATTTTTTTTTTAATCCTATATTTACATTTGAGAAATCATGTTGAATTAACCATGTGTAGAGTCAAAAGAAGTCATCATTTTACTTAAAAAAAAAACAACAAAAACTGAATTACTAGTTTGAAAGTCTGGATAAATATGGAGTTCAGTTGAAATATTTTCTAGGTTTCAATAAGGGTGAAAAAAAGTCAATGAAGTGTTCAAAAATGATTTTATTTCCCATCCCTAAGATTTCCTGACCATCCTGTCTGTTCCTTCTCCAGTCAGACTATCTGATCATCAGTTTTTCTTACCATCCATCCATCCATCCATCCATCCATCCATCCATCCATCCATCCATCCATCCATCCATCCATCCATCCATCCATCCATCCATCCATCCATCCATCCATCCAAATATCATTTTGTTCATCCAACCAACGATCCCTCAGTTTGTTCATCCATAACTCCATCCATTTGTCATTCAGATCCTCTGTCCATCAATCAGTTCTTCCATCTTTCCATTTATTCAACAGTCCCATACATTTTTTTCAACCATTCATCCATCCAGCCATCCGTCTATTTGGCTATCCGTCTGTGGCTTTTGCATGTTGCACATTACAGCTTTAAGGTCAAACATTAATGAACCGGGGCAGCAGACAGAAAACAATGATGGCCGCTCTGGCTGCAGCCCTTTAAGGAATCTTCTTGTTGTTGTGGGTTGGTTGCCACCAAAAATAAATGATCCCACTTAGTCCTCGGCTCCTGTGAGTCCTGGCTTTCAGCCAACTACTTGGTGTTTACCCTTCATTGCTCAGAGGCAAAATATATTATACTTTAATTAGCAGATAAAATAATAGCACTGGGTTCCAAAATAATATTTTTTGGAAGATTTGGAAGTTTGTTTTTTGTTTTTTCAACTGAATTAGGACTATTTTTTACCACTGAATCCAAAAATGACATCCATTTTTCTCCATCAGGTCAACTTTTTATTTGATTTAGAGAAATTTGATCTTGTAACTAGACTGGTTACATATTTGTGACATTATCAGTTCACTTTTGTTAAGATTTCTCATTTAAAAAGGTTATAGGAAAAAAAATAGTTTTCCAGCAGTCTATTAATTAAATGTTACAAACTTGGATTTCCGTAAATTGAATAATAAACACTAATGGTAAGGATAGGTGCATGTAAATTGAACATTACATGTGCAAAATTCTCCATCTCTTTTCTGTCCTGATGGAATCTCTCCTCCTGCTCATCATTGATCCCAGATTCTCAGGAAACTGATCCATATGTGAGGACAAGTAATGCATTTTGATGCTAATGTTGCATCCATAGTTCAGAAAGTTGACCTGATTGAGCAAAACCAATGTTCTTTTTGGATATCAAAATGACCCTAAAACAGTTGGAAAAACCCCAGACAATTTTTTGGTTGTTGACCAGGCTAGTAATGGTAGACTGAGGTTAAGTTCTGTAGCGTTTTAGAGCCGTTCTTGCCGTTTATCCAGCTGTGACCTCATATTCTACAGTTTCTGATTCTGAGGGAAGGAGATAGTAATGTTGCCTTTTTATATTTAGCAAGTCTGAACATGCAGAGGACACTTTTGTGCTTCAGAACAATAAAAAAACAGGATTTCTGCTTTTTCTTAAAAAACTATTTAGTTTTAACCCATGTGTATTTGTGTGCGTGCCCCTGCAGCAGGCACTCCTCTCCCCCCCAGCACCCCTACCATTCCTCTGAGCCAGCTGCAGCAGCACTTTCTGGCCCTCCAGGGGCAGCATGGTCAGACCCTGGCCACCGCCCCGCAGCCACAGCAGGGACAGCAGGCTGTCCTCCGCTTCCCTGCTGCTGTCTCCCTCACAGGTGATCTGCTCTGCATGCTGCCACCGTGCCTGCATCTGCTAATCTCAGTCATACCTTCATAAACCTGCTGCTTGCACACCGCTTTCCCTACTTCCTCTGCTAATATTAAACCACCTAACGCTAGAGTTACTCTCTCCACACGCACGAGGACTTTCTCCTAACCCTGCTAACGGTACTAATGTGACGTAGTTCTTTGCTGCTGTTCGCTGGGTCAGGTTCTGTCGAGTTGCTGCAGTGGCTTCATGGCCTCTGTGTGTGCGTGTGCGTTTATTTTCTTTCTTTCCGCAGGTGCAGGCGTTCCTCAGCAGCTCCAGGCCATCCAGGTCCATCCCAACTCACAGCCCACCTCCAACAGCGACAGCAGCCCTGAGATCTCTCACACCTCCACCAACTCCACCGGTAGGTCGGATTTTCACTGGAGCAATCACCGTGTGCACAGATTCAGGTTCAATTTATTTTGATAAATTTACGGCATTACGAAAAAGAAAACGTTATTTTGCTTACCAATATTATACCAAAACAGGAAGAGGCTGAAGATAACACTTATACTTGCCAACACTATTTAAAGAATCAGCAGCCTACAGTAATGAAAGATATTTATTCTTAATATCAATGCATATTTAATTTACATGGTTACACAATATGTATCAATCAATGAAGTTTATTTGTTTAGCACATTTAAGCAACAGGGTAGTTCAAAGTAATTCATGAAAACAAAAACATTAAACACACAGTCAAAAATTGTGAGATACAAATATATATCTACATAACACTTTCATATGTTCTCTTTTATAATTTTACATTCAAAGGTTGTTTTAAAACTCACCAAAAACATCATCATTTTGTTCGTTCCACAGTTTCATGCTGTTCACTAAAATACATTTAGATTTTACTTTTCTTTTTACCAAGTTCAAATATTAACAAACCTTGTCAATTATTTTTACTCTCTTTTTACTTAAATAATGTCTTAATTTCAGAAGAAAGACTTTTGTTCAGTGCTTTATACATTACCAGAATTTTTATACAAACCAAAGAGCCGTTCTATTTCCTTCAATCCCTCTAAATAAAAGTCGTTTAGAGCCGTAAAATGTTACATAACCATTTATGAAATAAAAACTAAACATTTCTAATATTTATTATAGAAAATTTGTTATAATTTTTGAGAAATGTTCCCACTATAAATGGCAAACGATACATTGTGATGGAGCGCATGCCTGAGCAGGAAGGAGAGTTTGGATATTAAGCGCCATCTGCTGGCCAACATGTGTCCTACCTTCATGCCTTTACAGTCTCTCTCCATCTCCCCCAGCAACGGTGAGTCTCCCAGCAACCATCGTCACTTCGTCAGTGCCAACGTCTGTGCCAGGCCACATGATGTACCCCAGCCCTCACACGGTGATGTACGCCTCCACTCCGGCGCTGGCCGACGGGGGGCTGGCCGTGCTCAACGCCTTCTCCCAGGGGACCCCGGCCATGCAGGTGTCCCACGCGCACAGCCAAGACACAGGTGGGAGCCGCACCGCGTGGTTTCAGACTGCAGGGACAGCACTGGAGGCGAGGCTTCACAAATTTTTGATCTTTCGGTGTTTTCCCGCCCAGGTGCCGTCCCTCAGGTGTTCCTCACAGCACCTCCCGGCACGGTGCAGATCCCGGTCTCAGCAGTGCAGCTACACCCAGTACGGCAAGATCTGCATTTCACAAGTGAAACTCTCATATTCCCTATGCAACCAGCATGCCACGTTGACTTCACTAATGCATCTTAACAGAGCACTTGGCACACAGGCCTCAGGGCTGCGTCCTGTTTGGTCTTTACTGAATGAATGTGGAGTGTTCAGCTGGCATCTTGTTGGTTTTTATTTGTTGCCAAACACATACAGAATACACCCAAGACACAGGTGCATCTTAGTAAAACAAAGAATCACATCAAAAAGGACATTTATTTTACTAAACTCATAATGATTCATTACACATAACGATAGATTGATGCTTGCAGCTAATAAAAACACAAAATTATTTTCAAGTTTAGTGGAAGGGAAGGAAAACATGTGATGGACTACTAATGTGTCTGTATGTATTGGTTTCAGACTAACATGTGTAATTTGTGCAAGAGCAGATTAAAAAAATTACAAAAAATATGGCAATTGATTACAAATTATTCAAAATTTTGAGACTCATTCTAACCTACAGACTCTATAAAGAGTGAAAAATATCTAATACTCTGGTTTCAAAAAATACATTGCACGTCTTATCCATTTTTGAAATCTGAGCATTAACATTAATGGAAAGTTTAGTGGAAGGAAGAAATACAGTAGAAAAAGTGTCAGCTTACGATTTCTGTATTTAAAATACTTTTTTTTAAAAAAGCTCCTATGTAGTAAGAACAAAAAATAAATTTTAGAAACATAATTTTGGATTTTCATTATTTTCATTATCACAATTACTTGTAATGCACATTTCTAATATGTCACTATGTGGAATAAATCAATATATAAGATGAGCTTTTCAGTTGAGTTTTTGTTTTCTTGCTTTACATCAGAGAAAAACACAGCTGTCACCTTCATTCAGCAGAAATAGCTTTTCTTTTATTAATACTTTAGTAATATTTTACAATTATATCCATTTCCTCTAACTAAAAAAACAAAATCTGATGCATTTTAGTTGAAAGTTTACTAGAAGGAAAACTTGTGTAGTCCTTTTTCATAATCATATTTAATAAAATTTTCTGATAAACAGAATTTTTTAAAAGTTTTTATTTTTGATACTTGGATTATTACACTTTCATCAATAAAATGAGTTAGAATTATTTAATAGAATTACTAATATAAATGAACTTTTTGAAGTTGTTCCAGTTTACTGAGCTGCGCCTGTAGCGCCACAGTAGCAGTGCATGGAGAAAATGATTGAAATGAAGTGGCAAACATTAAGCTAATGTGTTTTATGGGGTCATCTTGAGTGTTTTTCCAGGGCAAACAGCTTTCTGCGGATTAGCTGCAGGATCTCCATTTGCTCTGGCTGCTGTGTCCCGTGATGACCTGTGATTGGCTGTCTGTAGTCCCCCCCCCCTCTCTCCTGGTATGCTTTTAACATTTTTTTATGAATTAATTTTTCTGCAGATGGTGATTGGCCAGCAGTCGAGCGGCAGCAACAGCAGTAACCTGACGGAGCTCCAGGTGGTCAATCTGGACACGACACAGAGCACAAAGGGCGACTGATGGACGGCTGCAGCTGTTTAATATGGCAGACACACACACACACACACACACACACACACACACACACATCTATTTATTGATGCCTTCCTTTGAAATTTACCATCACTCTTCTGAATGTGATTTATCAGTACATATCTATAAACACAATGAAGGGCATATGTGTGGCAGGCCCTTAAACAATATGAAGTATGTTTTTGGTATATAAATATATATATATTTGCAAATACATAGGAGATATATCACTATATTATAATTGGAGCCTATTTTCTATGCTGTTAGATGGTGTTATTTTTAGCGTGAGCTTTGTTTCCTTTTGACAAAATGTAATTACACACATGGACTACAAGGTGCCACCAGCTTCACACCAGCCAAAGAGACATTTGTTTGTCTGAATGTTCCTGTGTGAGCCATCCGTGCACAAGCATGTGCCTGTGTGTGTGTGTGCATACACACATCTGGGCTTTTGTAAAACGGGGGTGGGAGAAAGAGGACAGAAACTTGCTTTCTGGCTTAAAAAAAAACAACAAAAACAATACATTTGGAAATGTAAATAGTTTTTCAAACAAATGAACAGTTGTATTTTTAGCTCGGTTCAGTTTGTGCAACAGCATGTAACGTTTTTTTTTTTTTTTTTTACATAGTGGGTTTTGTATGTAGAATTTGAGTTGTGTAAATTAATGCATCATCGTTCACTACAAGATGGAGAAAGAAAGCTGTTATCTACAACTTTCTGTGTTTTTGTTTATGCTGGTTTTTTGTTTGTTTTGAAGGAATTTCCAGATCATGTAATGTTGTCAGTGAAAGTAGAACACTTTTATAATTTACTGCTGTTGTATTCTTTACTTTGGTAGAGAAGATTTCAGTACTGTACCCTTATTAGGCATGACAATCTCATTGAAATATTTCCTATCAAAATTTTTGTTCAATGTTCATGAACTGACTTATATCCTTGGTAAAATGAGTAAAAAGCCTTAAAATAATTTGAAAAATACATGTTTACCTTAAGTTTTAGACCATAATTATGCAGAAAAACCCAATAATCACCCAATTTGAGTTTTATAGTAGCTCCGACAAGATTATAATTAAAATGTTGAGTTTTTGAAACATTGCCTGATATTATCATGGCGAGAAATTGGCTATTTGGTTAAACCAGATAAAACCTTGCTTGTATCATTTTTAATTAACATTTTTTCATTATTAGAAATATTTCCCTCCTAACTACTTAATGAGTTTGTTTACATTTTTCACGCTGCAATGAAATGCATGTTTCTTTTAAGGCTTTCTACTGATCTTTACCAGGGATGCTGTATAAATACAACTAATTCAAACCAAGTAGATCCATTTCCAGATGCTACTCTAGTTGCCTTGATAAAGTTTAAAGTTGGCAGAAAAGAGAACGGTTTTCTGCGTGAGAACAAGGATGTGATTGTTAGGGATTGAGTCCTGAGGTGCTTCAAAATGTTACGATTACTGAGTCTGAGTTGCAAGACCAGACTTGCGTCCTCTTTTCGCACCGTAGTGCCTATGATCCAAAGGCAGATTTTGAAAGTAATGTAATGCAAGGCTGTAGGATATTTCTCTCACACGGCTTTTGGACCTGCCGCCCTGTTTTTTGCTTCACCCTGCGAGGGGGATTGCTTATTGTTGACTCGTTTCTCCAGAACTGGCGGGATGACAGAACATGTCGAAGAAAACCCGACTGTCGACCATGATGCTATCCTGCTGTCTGTTAGCGACAAGTTGCAGACATTCACTTCTATACTCTGGTACTCATTAGGAAATGTTTATTTTTCTTTTGTGTTTAAAAAAAAAAAAAGATTGAACAGAGTTTGTGTTTTTCACCTCGTCGTTGAAAGAAATGATTGTGTATTTTTGTTGTATTGTACAGACATTTTGTAATAAAAACAAGATGAAACGCAAACTGTTGGAAAAATGATCACATCTGCTGAGGAGCATTTTTTTTTTTAATCAGGAGAAAGAATGTTAAACAAAATCATGCTGTTTTTGAACGAACCCCCAATAAAAAGTATAACCGTCAGTTAAATGATGGTTATAATGACTAAATGAACTTCCTGTTGTACAGCAATTAGGAAAACCCATGTTAAGGTGTAAGATGATTGGTGTGTGAAATAAGAGCTGATAAAAACCAGACATGATGCAGCAATTGGTGTCCTGTACATCTTCACACATCAAGAGCCTACATTAGGAAAACCTACAGAGGCATCTCAGTAAATTTAGAATATCTATATATTTGACAATTCCAAAGCTGATTTGTTTTGTCCAGAAAATTTTAAAAGAAAAATGTGGAAGAAATGTTAAAAAGCAGAAATAATGTTTAATTTAAGAAAATCTATAATTTAAAAACTCTGGAACTTAATTAGACGTTTGGAAGGAACAGTGTAGAAATCTTAAAGCCACAAAAGGTCATTTTTAACAATGAAAAGTAGGTGTGCAGAGGGCAAGAGAAATAAACTCAAAAATCAAATTTTATGGTAATTAAATGTTAAGCGGAAGAAAAAAACGTGGGGAAAAAAATCTTATGCAAAAAGCAAAGGAGTAAAATGAATTTGGGGGAAAAAAAACATTTCAGAACAATATTTCAGTAGATTTACCACTCCTCCAAAGAATTCAGTAAAAAAGGTTTTTAATAATTAAAACCAAGCTTTGTTGTCGCCGCGACAACCGGGGGGTCACTAATTACCTCCACAATGCAATGCAAGATGGCTGTTTTAAAGTGCTGTATCAAAACTTATTGATGGAAAGTTTAGTGGAGGGACAAAGTGTGGTGAAAGATTCACAACCAACCAAGGTAAATGAAATCTTGAAAAGATTTATAAAGGCAACTCTTAAGGTGGAGTCACATCACTTACCCCGCTACACTTTTTCCTTCCAATTAACTTTTGCTCTTGAATGATAATCTAATTTATTGAGACGCACTTGTAGGATAGTCGAAGGATCCACAGTGTTTAGTAAGGCATCTTCTCTTCCTGTCAGTGTCTTCTCAGACCAAAGTGCTGACAGCTGAGAACAAACTCGGCTCCACTGTCCCTTTTCTCTTTCTACACAATGAAAAATAATTGCTTCAAGCATGCATTTTCACCAGCTAGTATAACTTTAACGCTATAGTACACATAAAATTTACAACTGTACACCAGAAATTGCAAAACAGTCGATTTAAAAAATGTGCATGACAGTTAAAATAACAACAAAACAAAAAAAACTATTGAAATGTTACTCTTGGAACATCCAAAACTTCTCTCTTTTTTTTTTTTTTGGTGTTTTGGTTGATGAAGAAGAAAAGTAAAACATACAAAACAAGAATTACAACAATGTGCAAATCTGAATCCATGCAAGCAGTTTGCATAATGTAGCTTAGGTGCAAGAGTGATGAATTTGGAGAAGGAAACAAAAAAGGAGCAGATACTCATGGCTTCAATCAATAACACTGTCCATTCTTCTTAGCAAAAAAAACAAAAAACAAACAATCGATCCCTTCTGGGATTAAATTAAAACAAAAAGCACATTTAGAAACTTTTCTATGAGCGGGATTATAAATTAAAGACACCCTCCAGACATAAAAGCAACACACAACCCGTTCCAACACTACCGGTGCATCATCTCTAGGATGAACGAGTAACACTGCAACACCTCCGTATGCTGTACTGTGAGGGTTTAGGACAAAACTCCTTAAAAGTCTTTTTTTTTCTTCTGTCCAACACAATTAAAACAACAAAAATGAGACATAGTTTCCACTCAGACTCAAGTGTTCATCCCTAAAAGTGAGAAAGTTCAACGTCTGTTTTATGTTGTGAAACCTAAAAGAAGCTTCCTCTTTAACTACTGCACACAGCCGGTCAGCTGGCTGAATAAAGGCTGCTACACTTTGCAACTTCAAGTGAAAAATTTGGCTGTTTCAAAATATTTCTGGTAGTAATAAAATATGGATGGTCTTATGTAAACTAAATATTTGTTACTCATATTAAGTCAATGCTTCAAGACTAATGTTTGTTATGATCCCAATTTTAGATTTGAACCTTTTCTGCATTTCAAAACGTCAGATTTTTTTCTGAATTCATTTTTTTGTTGTTGTTGCATAAAGAAGAATCCACTAAAATGTACATCCAAAGTGTTAAAAACCGAAGTCTGTAGATAAGGAGGAAACAAAGACGAGGATGGACAGCCATCTGCTTCTTTTCCTAATCAGCATCTGTCCAACTAGATGTGCATGCAGGCACTGAAGGTTTCCAAAATGGTCATGTTAGAAAAGCTGAACTCAAAACTTGTATGGACAAACAGCTGATGTCATAGCAATTGTGTACAAAATGGGTGCGAACTTCTGAAGAGGTAATCTGCTGGCACCAGTTCATTAAAATCTTTTTTTCCACTTTCTAACATTTCCTGAATGAGACCTAGAAACCAACATCTAAGTTTCAGAGTTGTATATTCATATCATCTGTGTATCAAAGTCAACATGATTTTTTTTAACTGTTATAATATTGGTGTTTTTGTCGAGTAAATGAGAGAAATCTTCACACGATATCACCACATAATGAGAATCTCAAAGCGGCGGCCCAGGCCTCCTCTCTGAAGAGATGACTAGATATGAACACTGATGAGTCAAACAATGAACACTCATCCTAATCTTCAGTGATGTAACCAGTGCAGCAACGTGAGGTCCATTTGCAAATCCTCATCTCCTGCAAATTCCCAGTTCTTGCTCAACACAATGTGATGAGGGTCACATCTTTGGGTGGTGATGCACTTAAAGCCAAACCCAGGAAAGACACCAAAACAAATGAAAGTTTCTGCAGTCGGTCATTAAACAGACTCTTGATTTCAACAAAACATTAGATAAAAAAGGCAACATGAAAGCAAATCAAGAAATAAATAAGATGACTTGGCATTTAAAATGAGTGCAGTACGTCACTATGGATGTAACTACAGATATGTGTACGGGTTCACGGTTTCCCCTCTACAGCTTTTCTCTTGGTTCCTGCACAATAATCAGAAAAATTTAAGACTTTTCCAGATTCCTTCTTTAAGAAAGAAAATTAAGAAAACATAGAAAGGCGAGAAGAGGGGAAAGACAGAGGAGGGCACCATGGTGTTTCTCAGAAATAAAGGAAGAAATTTACACAATTGGATAGAAAATGAATATGTCTCCTTATTATTCACTTTTGTTTTTACATGATTTTATGATTCTGGAAAACACAGAACTCAAAATCCAGACTATTCCAGGCAAAGCTTTTCAGGGACAAAAGAAGAAAGGAAGGAATGACAAAAGAGAAGGAGCACAGAAATGACAAGAAATTAAAAAAAATACATAGGATGAGGGAAAGAAGAAAGGACAAGAAAGACAGGAAGGCTTCAAGGTACAGAATGGAAAGAAAAAAGACACAGGAAGGAAAGAATTTTGTTTCCGTGTTCTTACTTTGTTTTCTTAACCTGGAAAACCTTAAACTCAAAATCCAGAGTTTTCCAATCTTAATTTTCAAAGATGAGAGGAAGAAATGACAAGATGGACAGAAGAAAGGAAATAAAAGAAGAAGGGAAGGAAAATTATACAAAAGTACAATTTAGACAACTGGATGAAGAATAAACTATTTCCATACTCTGTTTGTTTTTCGGTAGTTTTCTGATCCTAGAAACTTTTCCAGATCGTGCAGGAACCTCTCTCTCTCTTTCTCTCGCTCTCTTTCTCTCTTTCTTTCTCTCTCACTCCAAACAGACAACACAACGGGGATTAAAGACAAAATGTTCCACAGAGAAACACTTTGTTGTAACTGAAAGGTGTGACTCCACACTAAGGCGATGAAACAAAAATACACACATTTACTCCTCAATATTAAAACTCCACACTCATTCCAAAGGTAGAAGACAAGATGGAGGAGAGAAGGGCAGTGAAAAACTGCACAGGTTGGGAAAAAAAACCCAAAAATAAAACAACAAAAACAAGAGTCCAGTGAACATGTTTGTGCACCTCCATCAACATCCCTGTCCTCCGTCTCGTCCTCTGGCTGGGCAGTGTCTACGCTCCGACCTGCTCAGAGGTCAGAGGAAGGGGGATGATGGAGCCCGTCCACTTGGGCTCCTAACAGTCTTGCAGGTGAAACCAGTTAGTGGTGATTTTCCGCCGACCCTGTGTCGCCGGCGCCCACGGAAGGCCCCGGCTCATCCCGACTCGTCTGCTTGGAAGAGACAGATGGTGGAGCAGCAGGATGGTTACGGCGAGGACGAAGCCACTGCATGATATTTGACGAAGGCGATGGCTGCCAGCTCTTTGCAGAACTCCTCAAGCACAATGACACCTTCCAGCAGCGTACTGTGGTCCACGCTATGAGGACAGAAAGAAGGACAGAGAGGGCTTCAGAGGTCAGCTCAAAGGAAAAGCGGCTGATGCCATCAGTAAGTACATACGTGATTCCCTCAGGCTCCAAGCCCAGTAGTCTCTTCCTCACAAGCAGCAGTTTGGGGGTGAAGTCTGGGATGCGGTGAATCCTCAGCATTAAATCTCCAACCACCTGAGGACACAGAGTTTTCACACCTGTTACATTTTCAGGTGGTGCGGTTTGCAAAACAAACCCTTTGAAAAAGCTGTCCCCCTCCTAGCCTGTGGTGGCGCTGCACCAACAACCTCTGAATGAAACGACACAAAAACCTCTGAAGAAGCCATGAGTAAAACTTCCTTCTGCAGTAACATGGTATTTTAGCTAAGGTTTAATACAGCAATTAAAGGCACTAGAGTCTATATCAACATTTGGTCAAAGATTAAATGTGATCCTAGTTACAAAAGAAGGACACTGGAACATTTCTGAAGAAATGTAAATGGGGCCTCTTAAAGTGTGCCCATCAGTTCCAACCCAGCGACCTGACGCTAAAAATTAGCATCAATGCTAAAGCAAGCTACAATGACTCAATAGTATGTGGAGAATCACAAGCATGTTGGCCCCTTTATGAGTGAACACCCACTCATAAAGTTTTGTACATTTTGTCACTCTATAGCAACAAAGCAACAAAAAATAATAATCCCACAGCATGATGCTGCTTCCACCTTGCATCAAAGTATAACAAACACTGGTGTGTTTGTTATACTGTTTTTTTACTATTTAAGTATTAAGTGACTGGTTGTGGCATCTCGTGAGGACGTCTCACCCTGACGATGACAGAGAACAGCGACCTGCAGCCGGGGGCCAGGCTGATGTAAGGATCCAGCAAGTATTCATGAAGGTGAGGGTGGGGCAGCAAGGACAGCTTGGAGAGCACGGCAGTCACCTGCAGGTTGACGTCGTAAGGCTGCAGGAAGACGGATAAAGCAGGAAATAAGCAATTAGTTCTCAAAGTTTCATTTAAAGGTCAAAACAAGCATGAAACTAGGATAGTAGGGCCGGACAATAAGAATTTTGTTTTTAAATTACAAGAAAAAAATAAGAATATTCAATATTCCTTCAGGATTTGACATTATATTAAATCAAACTCACTTGATCAAGGATGCGGCCCATTCTGTCAAACAGAACCTTTAGGAAGTGACCTTCAAAGAACGGCATGTCCAAATTACATTTCTCCAGAGGCTTTGGACTTCCTCTCCAGTCCCAGCGCTGGCAGACGCCACAGAAGTCCCTGAACTGAGGAGAAAATAAAACCCTTTAAAGGAAGAAGACAAAAACAGAAGACTTTCTCTGTTAGAGGAGTGGAGCTGACCTGTCTGTGAGCGTCTCTGAGGTAGGTGTCGTAGCCGGTGCCTTCGACATGATACGACGACTTGGCCTCATCAGGCACCAAACACAGGAAACTGCAGGAAACAAACTGGAGTAAGAACAGATAGACTCTTCATCCAGCCCTTGAAGCAGGAACAGATCCAGCACCTATTGACGATCTTGTGGACCTCAGTTTTCCCGTCAGACTTTGAGTGATCGGGGCTGTGTTGGGGAGAGGAACCGAGCCAATCAGAGCCAGACAGCCTGCTGTCCGGGGAAAGGTCGTCTCCAAACAGCGGATCCTCCTCCAGGTCCCTGCAGACGGAGATTTGTTCTCATTATCAAGTCTTGTCTTGATATTCTTAGACAGATTTATGTTAAAAATCTTTTCTCTTTGCTTCACATTGCTTACTAGAACTTGTTCAGAAATGTAAAAAAAATCTGACTAATGTTGAGTACTTTATGTAAACAGCTGAATAAAATCAGTATTTCTGCAGCTTATGAAGCAGCTGAATGAGGAAAAGCATAAAGCTGGGGCAGGCGCGTGTCTTAATGGTTTCATTAGATCTCATTAACCAAACAAAAGTAACGAAGCTAATTAATGCTCACTGGATTTCATTTTTATCCACAACTTTCAATTATGCTAATAATTCTCTTCATCACAACGATCGCTGCTTCATCTCAGCAGCAGAGGAACAGTAAATAAAACCAAACTGAACAGAAGAATCTCCAGCTCATTTACAACACAGATAATTGATGCATTCTTTTTATTTGCAGTGCTTTTTGTTCAGGCAGAAGCTGCAGGACGGCAGGAGGTCCTTACACAGCGTCGTGGGGCTGCCCGTTCTCCAGGGGTTCCCGGTCCTCCTGCGGTTTGTTCTCCAGGTAGTTCCTCTCCTCCAGGCTGCGCAGCACTAAGCTGTGCAGGATGTGCTGGTCGGGCTTCTGGATCAGCTGCTCGAACAACCGCAGCGTCATGATGCTGATCTGAAGACGAGAAAGATTTGTTTTTCTTGACAGGGAAGTAGGCGGCTGTTGCTTTAACAACACAAAAATGATTCATCTTTCTTTTGTGCTCTGAGAACTTTTGTCATGCTCTAATTAGTATTTCTCAGCTTTTAGTTGCTCATTAGAGAGCTTTTAAAGAGCTTCAATGAACAAGAAAATTATATAAAGTAAAGGAGAAAGAAAGAAAAAAGATCTCCAATTAAAAATGTATGTGACAAACCAAGACATACTTGTTTAATGGATACTAAATAATACATTATTGCATATGGTGAAAAAAAATGTGGCCCTCAAGAGTCATTTGGCTCTCAGAGCAGCCAAATAAAACTTGTTTGGAGCCACAAATGTCACGGCTTTTTGAAAAAAAGGAAACCTTTTAGACAAATGTGTAATTTAGGAAATGTCATTTTTGAAGAACCAGCATTTTACTTTTATTTTTTAGGATTTAAAATGAAGATGTATAAATATGTATGCATTTAAATGCACATAGATTCCAAACTCATGACAAGGAAAACAGATTTAAATAATTTCTGGTACTTTTAGTGTCATACGTTCTGTATTTAGTACAAATATTGCAGAAAAAATTGGAAAAAAGTTAAGAACCTGCATTTGTTTTTACATCTGTATTTAAAAACATTGCATAACCATCCTGCACTCTGGGTTTTAGATTAAATCCAAATAGAACTATAATTGAGAATCTGCAGCAAGACATTAAAAACCGATATTTACACAATTCAATCTTAACTTGAGCTGTTTTTCTGTTGAAAAACAGCAACATTTTAGCCTTTGTGTCTAGAGACTCCTATTAAAACTTGCAAGCTGCAAATGCATTAAAATGGTGGTTCTGGTGTTGACTCAATGTGGCAGAATGCAAATGAATGGCACACTTTTCCAAAGTTGATTAAAATATTTTTATGTCCACAGTTCTGTGCTACTTTGCTCTGTCACATAATGACACTGGAGTTTGTGGTTGTTTTGTGCGAAAATGTGAGGAAGCTCAAGGGGTATGAATATGATAGATAACAACCTCATCTGACAGATGGTCACAGTGCTCGATGAGTCTGTGTCTGAGTGGATTCTGAGCGATGGTCGCCAGAGTTTCTGCCTCCTTGTCCTCGCCCAGCAGAAAGTAAACAATCTGCTGCAGCAGCGCTTCGGACGTCACCTGCCTTATGATGCGGTTCAGTAGCGCCGTGGAGGTCAGGATTCCCACCTCAGACCTGCGGCAGAATGCAAAGAAAACTTGTTTCGGAGCAGTCACGACTCACTCCAGTCCAGAAATGTCAATGTGCGATGATTGATGGATGAATCAGGAGCAGCACTTACGTCTGCATGAGTTGCGGTTCCATCACAGACACAAAGAATCTTTCTCTCACAGCCTTCGCCATCACTGCAGCGGCCGACTGAAAGATAGAAAAACAAAGAAACAAAGCTTTTCAGACAGAACATTAGTAGTTCTGTCAATTTAGACTACAATAAGCACAACAATCAGAGCTGGTAAATAAAAAAAAAACCTTCTGCGCCTCCTTGATGAGCTGATCGCAATAATCGAGCCACGACAGGAATGATATCAGAGCTCTCTTCCCTGTGAATACAGCAGCGTCCTCTTTCAGGTTGTATACATCTAGACTGAAACAGACAAAAGGGAGGAAAAAAAGGACTTGTAAGGCCATTTAAAACACAATTTTATATTTCACATATTTAAAGACAACCAAATGGCAATGGAATTAAACTGCAATTTACCCCCAGTTGACCGACTCCACTGTCTCGATGTCCAGAGGGTCCATGGATGGCGGCAGAGCTTTATAAAACAAGACCAGCCTGTCGGTGAGAAGCTCACACAGCTCCGTGTTTTCTGTTAAACACTTTGCAGCAGCTGGCTCAGGCAAACTAACGAGGAGCATCAAGCCCTCGCATGCTTTCACCACTATCCTGCCATCCTAAAAAGAAAACAAAACACAATCCTGATTATAAACCTGATCAGAATTTTCAGGATTTGTAAATGTTTGATCTGGCGGTGCAGCTTTTTCCCCAGAGGCAGCCATCTTTAGCATCTTATATTAAAATTAGCATGATTAGCATAGCTAGCAATATCTAAGTTATGTTTCCAAATTCAACATTTTTTAATGGAGCTGAAAGCTCAAAATGATGACACAAAGAAGCAGTTTATTATTGTGACTTTTGATCAGGTAACAAAATTGGCAGATGTTTCTTTTAACCACTTAATCCTTATTTATAAAATATTATATATATATTAAAAGATGAAAGTAAACAAAGAAATGTATTATATTGCGCAAAATGCTAGAACACAACATTACCTTGGTATTTACTTAACAATTTGTAGCAAATGACACAAAAAATAGTTCAACAGCGTGTAAATAGAAACACTTTCTGAATGACTAACATCAATATTGTGTGGAGCTGATCTTTTAGTAAATTTTTCTATTGACTGATTAATAGAAATTTCGTTGAATCCTGTTCAATGACAATAAATGCTATTCTATTCTATTCTATTCTATTCTAATAATTGGACAACAAAAAGTACTTAATATGAGACTTTTTGTTACAGAATTTGAAAACAGGTGAAGTTAAAAGTAAACTATGCAACTTGTGCAGTTCTGGGTAGGAAAAATGTTTTTCAATAATTCATGGCAATTAATCGTTTCAGCCCTAAAACTCAGTAACTTTGCTTCACTTTATTCAACCTTCCTACTTTCAGCTGAAAGTCTTACTCTCTCTTGCAGCCTGAGCCAACACAAAATACTGTTTTATTTTAAATTTCTCTCTCTTCATTTTTTGAATAACTCACTCATATTGTAAAATAGTTAACAACTTCCAGGCCAGAGGCTGTCGCTGATTTTCCGTAAGATGCATTCAGTGAACAGAAAGTTGGAATTTCTGACGATCAAGCAGAAAAATTAATGAATTGAGCAAAATTATTCATGTGAAATTGACTTACTGGACTCTTTGTGAGGTTAAGCAGCGAGGTGACCAGATTGTAGTTGTTGGTATTGTTATTGTTAGCAGCTGGGCTTGAGGTGGCAGCAGCAGCTGCGGCTTGAGGTTCTCCAGGATGATCTGCTTGAGACTGGCCCGTATCTGGAGCCAGAACACTTTCCTTCCCCCCCTCTGCTGCAGCAGGACTCTTTACCTCTGTTCTCTTTGATTTGTTCTGCAAACATTTAAAATGTAAAAACAGTCCGACACCAAGCCGTTTCAAACTTTAATAAAGCTCTACATTTCTTCTCACAAGAACCCACCTCAAGGAAGAAGTTGACAAGGTATGGGTCCTGCTTTAGTTTGGCACAGACGATGCAAAGAAACTGGATCTCCTCGTTTTCTGTAGGCGCAGCTAGAACCTCACCACACAGCCGGATCAGTTTCTGACAGATTGATCGGAGGGATACGTCCTAAATAAGTAACATGCCATCACACACAGAGAGGAAAAACAGACGGCGAAGCGTCTCACCTGTACAGGTCGGTGGACGTTGATGTGTGGCAGAAGCGGCTGACGAATGTGAGCGAGCAGCTTTGTGTAAAAGGTGAGGACTTGCTGTTTCATCCCAGGAGGACACTAAAACACAACGTTGAGAAACAATCTGATGAAAACCACCTCAGGTGGTTTTACTCCACAAACAACTAAATAAAAACTAATTATCTAGAACAATGAAGGACCTCCTTACATCTGCTTTGCCTAACGTGTAAAGGGTCTCCAGGATCTTGTGGTGCAGGAGGTACTCCATGCACGGTCCCGTCTCACCAGACTCCCTTTCTGCCTCCTCCTGGGTCAGAATGTCCAGCATCTGCTCCAGGTGGGATGGGATGTTGGTGTCTGTGACGGGGGCTTTGTCATCTAACAGAAACATGTTAAACACCTTATTAATACTATAAAATGCAAAAATAAGAAGGTAAAATACACCAAATCAAAATATAAAAGAAATAATTGATACAATTACATTGCTCATTGTGGCAGCATGTTGAAGTAGCTGTTACATTAGTTCAGATTGTTCTTTTTAAAGATCTTTGCGGGCAAGTACTGCTAATCCTCCTCATTTGTTTTTGCCACCCTGCCAGGGATATGATTTTTGTCCATTATGATTGATGGAAGAGACGGTTTGATCTTCTTCCTTCTCTCTCTGCAGCCATGAGGCCTCCCTTTCAACTCCCTGGGATTTGGGGTCATAGTTCAATATTTGAGATGCTAATCAACTGCTCCCAGTTATGAAAACAATACATTGCAGCCATGGTTACACATCATATCAACTGTCAGAATGTTAAAAAGTAAGAGCAAAAATCCTTCCAGCTGCACAGCATCCAAAAACAAATATTTGACAATATGAATAATTGTCCAAACATGCAAGTAAGGAGGTGAGGCCTTCGCAGACAAAGAGAGTTCACTGAAGCAGCCAAATATATCATTGGCATTATTGCAAGCTACCTGAAATGTAATAACTTACAAAAGTTGCAACACTAGTCGTTTCCAGTTGCAATACTGCACATGCTTATGCTTCAAGGATTGTACAACTCTAACTAGAAACTTTAAAAAGTTGGATTTTAGTTGCCGGAGATTTGTGTAATATGAGCATATAATATTACTTCTATGGATGAACATTGGGAAAAGAAGACAGCTAAGCATCGTGAAAGGCTACTGCAATACAAGCTCGACATTTTCAGAATACTTGACAGTTAGCGACTTTCCGTTTTGTGCTTTCTCTGAAACAGTGAAGCTGCTCTCACAATGCAAACAGGCTTCCAAAGAATGTGCAAATCTGAGTCCTGCTATTTAGCTCATTTTAAGTGTATTATCAACCCTGAGAAGAGTGTTGATGATATCCAGTTTTAGACTGAAAAAAAAAAAAACACAGATCAATACCAACATAAAACAGCAGCATTTCTTCATCAGGACTAAAAATAGACTGATATAAAAAATAAAAAAATATTTCAGGATGCTCTGTCAAAAGCACTGTCGCTCAAAAAAAAAAAAAAAAATGCTATGAACACTAAAAAAAACACTTTTCAGCATTGCAAAGGACTAACACGTTAACAATGCAGAAATAAATCTAGATAATAATTTCTTCTTCAGCTACGACCAGATTTCAAACATGTCTTACCAGAAGTTTCAATGTAATAATGTGTAATCCCCTTCCAGTGATAGACAAAGTCTTCTTGCAAGGGTAGCGATGGAGCAAGCTGGAAAACAACAGGGAAAAAATATCAGTTAAATTTCATCGTGTGCAAATGAATTATTGCTTTTAAAATTTTTCCTTAAATGTATTACTTTTTATTTTTAGTATTTTAATATTTATTTTTCAAATTACCTTAAATATGAATAATGTTGTGGCTTGAATGATGACAATGGCCTCTCAAAAACAGCTTTCCATTTCTTATTACAGGTTTTACAATTGCCGATAATAAACATAAACAAACGTACATTATATTATTTGTTTTCTATTTTTCTCATTATTCCCGTAAGCAACCAGGCCCTTTTGTTGATGTTTTTCACCCAATAAAGTTAGTTTTATTCTCGTTTTTTATTTTTTTTAAATCAGCCAAATGGTCCTGCAACTTCTGACATGTCGGCAAGTTTTATAACAACCTCGTCATTAACCACTCATTTGATTGAGGAGTGTTGGAGCATGGATGCATCCAAAAGTTGCAGAACAGTGGCACTGATGGACTGGTGGTCCTCTTCAGAAATTACCCCAAATTTTAAGAAAGTAAATGCAATTAAAAAAAAATACAAAATTGTGGGGCAGGAACTGGAAACATCTTGAGGATCACTGGCAAGGAAACCAGTCGTCTGCTTAGCTTTACAAACAATAGGAGTAGGAAGGTTTTTCTGCAGCTGGAGCTTCTTTTTAAATCAGCTACCCGACTTGCAAACATCTACTGTTTAATTTTAGCAAAGCACTGAGGTAGAAAGGCCACGGACTGTCAATTTGAAATGGTGAATAGCATGTTTGCGCAACATCACGGTCTAAATATTTCGACATACTGTTTGATAGCTAGCGAAGATGCTAGCTTAGCTTTTAGCATATCAAGAGCTGAAAGGTAGCTTTTGAAATAATTCGCATTAATGTATGCACTTGTCACTCTTTAAACAGATTAAAAAAAACTCAACCAAACAAACAAAAACACCGCAGCTGAGAGTGCCGAATGAAAAGAAACAAGCAGAAAACAAATACCGTGCTAATTGTTAGCTTGGTAGCTAACAGCCTAATGCTGACGTTTTGACAAAACACAGATTTTAACCCAAATTAACGCCACAAAACGAAAACCTATACAGAATAAAAACGTCCAGCTTTAATAAAACTCACCGCTTCCACGGCGTGCTGGAGAATGGACGTAAATTTGGAGAACATCTTGTTCTTCGACTGGACCAGTTTCTCCCGAGAAGACCGAGAGAATTCCTCTATCTTCTTCTTCCTGTTGTTGCCGCCTCGCTCCAGATTGGAGGTTTCATACACTGACCCTTGAAACGAAATAATATAATGAAAGCAATAAACCCGCAGCACGTTCTGGGCCTCGGCACTTTACAGGCCTGGCACCGCTACTGTAAACAAGACGTCAAAGAGCTCAGAGGAAAGGTGGGCTCTCTTTGGACACGGTGGCACTTCCCTCGCCAAACGCTTCTGTCAGTGACCACCAGGGGGCGCCGATGCACCGGACAACAGTCACTGCACAAAACTGAACTCTGTTTTGAATGGTGAGCTAAAAATATGTCTAATTCCATAAATTAATATATTTCTAAAAATATATTTAAATGTGTATAATTTGAATAGAACATAATTTACCAATATATATCTTAAACGTCAATAAGATAAAATAAAAGGGTATTTATACTTTTCTTATGCTTTAATAATTTACATATATTTCATATACTGTATATAGGTCATTGTATCTCTTTAATATCATGAGTCTAGAGTGCTATAATTCAATACAAATCTAACGTATTGAAGAAAAAAAAATTATGATCGTTTTCAAAAATATATTCTCATCATAATTTTTTTCATCATCCTGTGTTGCTACACCTCATCATTTTGTCAAATCTCCTTGTTAAACCAATTGACAAGGAGATTGGTTTGAAGATGACTTACTGTGCATTCTAACCAATCGAAGGTCACAATCTATTAGACAAAGATGTGTTAAATTCTAATTTATAGGCTAAATCAGTGAAACAAAATCATGATTTTGACATCTAATTATTTTACTGTGTAAGTACACAACATAAAGAAATAATAATTTTGTTTATTTTAAAGTATTTATTATTACGTTTAACCAAAATTATGACATACATTAATATATTTTTTTACATGATTGTGCCACTTTTGGTCTTCGATACTATTAAAGTTTGAAGACATTTTTTGTGAACTAACACTGATCGCCCAGTAGGAGGCAGTGTAAAATGTAGCTAAAATGCCTGACAACAATACGAACACAAACACACGCAAAAAAAAAAGACTTTTGAATAACTGTCAGCTTTAGTGTCCAGTACTCATGAAAGGATTAATACACCAACTATAAATATTTTCCCTTAAACCGCTGTAATATTCCCAAGTGAGGCTGAGCTCACGCTTCCTTTATATGCATTGCATTGAGTATTTATAGGGGTGGAGGTTTCTCCCGGTACTTTAACTGTAAATTTGCCCCATTATATGCAAGAATTTCTCCTCCGTAGCCGTCAAGTTTGCAATTCAACCCCACTACGTGAGAACCGCGCAGTCATCCCAGACAGAAGACAGGCGGTCTCTCGGCTCTCATGCGGGCTGAATCCAGCTGCAGACGAGGCATTTCAAATACGACTCCATAAACAACTGTAATTACCTGATATCATGTTCAAATATGGGCAGAAACTGGCTGGGACATAAGAAAAAGAAAGGATGCTGTATTTTCCAGGACACGCCCTGCAGCTGGAAAGTGCTCTCTCCATCGCGCATTCTTCTCCAGTCCACCTCATTGCAGAATGTTTCCCTGCGTTAAATGCCATTTAATAACTGGAAAAACTTAACGCAAAGATAAGCTATTGTTTTCCCCAAGCTTCCTTAAAGCTGTTGAACCGGGACTGCTTCTCCTACTGTTCAATCTCAACAAAGGAAAAGAGCCTCTACCTACCAGGCATGTCTGCTAGAGGTGAGTATATATTTTGCCGCAGAAGCCTTCATAACAAGCCAAAAAGTCCCAGGGTTTATACTGGGGAAGAGGCTGGTCTTGGTTCAAGAATATTTGATGGAGGGGGGGAAAGCCTTTTTCGTCTCGGCTTGAAGCTCTGGACTCTGATAATGACACTTGGTTTGTAAGTAGGTTACACTGGTGCATACTGAAACTGTACCTTCCACTGCTGCAGCTTTAGACTTTCTTTTAACTTCACTGTAACCTGGACCCATAAATATGAATGTCCGTAACATCCCTAGTGGAAAGCTGCGAACTGGAAGAGTTTCACATCCGTTTCCCTTTGTTTGCTGTCTGGTGTTAGAAATGTTGCTATTTTCCTTAAACTTTTCAGCAAAGTTGGGAGTTGAGTATATTTCTTTATTTTTTATGTAATAGACCAACAGAAAGTAGTGCATAACTGCAAATTGGAATAAAAATGTTTTTTATAAAATGACATCCTAAAGTTTGGTGTGCATTTGTGGTTGGTCCACAAAAATCAAACTGAAAAAGAAATTCAATAATTTTTCTAATTAGTAAACAGAAAGGATCACGCCGTGGGAAGATTTTGTGTTTGGGTTTCTGTCCATCCATTGTATGAACCGGGAGATACCTCGCATTCACTGGACGAGAGAAGGAGTAAAGGCTAGGTTTCATGTTTTTGTAAAAAAAAAAAAAAAAAAAAAAAAAAAAAGTGTTCTGCATTTATAGCCTACTCCCGCTGAGTCAATATCTTTAGAACCATCAATTGCAAATCCTTTGACACGTGTCTAGCAGCTCTAGTCTGTTGTCTTTTGTATATGTCACAGAAGACAGAGGTTGTGGCACAACAAAATATGGAAAAGATTTTTTTCTATGCAAATACTGCAAGTGGATTATGTGTCAGCATATTTGTGTTGTGCTGATTTGGTGACTAACTCCAGCTGTGATCATATGGTCTACCACTGACTCATCAAAAGTTGCAGAAAAAAAAGAAAATAAATAAATTAATTAAAAAAAACAAAACCAAGACGTAACCTTGTCTTTTTATATCAAGTAAGGCAATTCCTGGATTTAATGCAGTTACTTTTATTCTGTTACTGGCTAATACATCAGTCTTGGATGAAGGCTCCTTTAATGGACAGAAAATGGCTCCCCCAGGCTGTGTATGGTTGAGTCTGGGTATTAGGATGGCTTTGAACTCCTTACAGTAATGATGTGGTCACTTGTATCGGTCCTCTGTGGTTGCTGGTGGAGATCGATGAAGCTCTGTGGTAAACGCTGCAGATCTCATAAGCGTAGTTAAATCCTTGCAAACAGTCACTCATTAGTCATTCACAGTAAGTATTCCCTATTCTGGAATGATTAGACAACATTCAACTTTGCTTATTTTCGAAAACATGAATTGGATGCTCAAGTTTTAATTTATTGCGGATTTTCTGTGATTTACACATGTTCAAAATTTTGCAGATGCTCACATACATAACACATCCAGTGGCTTCCTCTCTGCAGGATCTTTGTATCAGTCATTAAGGTTTGGGTATCAGTCTGGTTGGACCACTTTCCTTGGAATCGATTGGTAGAGTTCAGTAGAAGTGGTTGGTTTTCTGATGTTCTGAACATGTGACTTTAAAACATGTACTTGAGGTTTAGTCTTATGTTATTCATATGTCACGAATGAAAGAATGTAATGAGAGATTCAAGTTTAAAGTGCAGTAAAGTAATTTTCTTTCTTTGATTTTAGATTGGTTTTCCTTCAAAATCTGTAACACTTAAAGTTTTATATGGAATTAGGACTGGAATGTCCCACACAACTCAGGTCGACCAGTCAAAGGTTGATAAGTGAATCTGTAATGAAAAGCTGATGATTTGGTCTTCTTTCGTCACTTGGTTTTTAGTGAGTGAGTTGAAGAGAAACTGTTGTGATGTAGCAGTTCAAAGATAAAGGACTGTGAAAAAAGCTTTTGGAAATTAGATAAAATGGAGCAAAGAAGAATGTATATAGCACTCTTCCATTCCACTTTCCATTAAAACTTTGCAAGACCGATTTGAATTGTATGTACTGGGTTTAGATCTTGATTTATTCCAAGTTTCATGGTTTTCGACAAGACATACAATGTTTGGACAAGGCATTTTTTAAGCAGTGGAAAAATCTTATGTGAGAATCAAAATGCATGCTCGCTGCAGAGAAATGCAGACTGCGAACCATCAAAATGATTTGTAACATGTTTAGTTTGAGAAAAAGTCACTGTAGATGCAGCAGTCTTACATTTTGCAGGCGTATCTTTCTCTTTTTTATATTTGAACTCTTAGGTAAACAAACAACTGGAAAAATGTTTCATTTGAATTTTTCTGGTGAGTTAGAATTATGAACAGCCATCTAAAAAATATGGCATGGGTTTATGGGGTAGGAACTCATAAGTTTCTTACTTCTTCCTAATTCTTTTCGAGCATGTTAAGATTATTGTGGGATGCAAAAAAATGTGTCTTTTGCATTTCTTGTTCAGGTGTGTCATATGAAATAAATAAATCCAATACAGATTATTTGAATTTGCTACTTGTCAGAAGACTGAACAATTTTTTTTTTAAAGATTTATTTGTAACTCTATTCAACTTCAAAAGTTTACTTCATATAGTTCAACAAAATACACTGAAATGTGTGGTTTTAAAGTGGCAAAACATGACAAACCTCAAGGAATGTGAAAATTCTGTAGAAAATTGACACATCCAAGTCCTTACCACTGCTTTAATTTTCAATTAATTTCTACATTGATATTGCTCTTTTAATGTGAAAATATCCTCCATTGCTCCTGTTTTTATAGCTTCTAAGCTGAACTTGACTGATAAAAGAATAAAGTATAAAATGTCCTTTAATTTTTAAAGACAGAAAAAAACAGATAAAAATCACTAGACCATCACTGGGCTTTCAGTCCTAATGTGCTCCTCCACCCTTACCACCACCCTCCACTCTCCTGTTATCAGCTCAGGGCCATCAGCTCTTACCTTGATGCTGATGCCTTTCCATTAGTCACACCGCCTTGCAATACATCCTTCAAGGCATACTCTGTCTGGGCTTTCCAGTTTTCATTGTATTTCCTGTTTTCACTCAACCAGTTGACCATAATCTTTACTTATTTATTTTGTTTATTTTCTGTATCCATTATCGTAATCATTGCTACCTGTAAGCAGTTTGCTCTGGATGAGTCTGCTATTAACGACCATTATGCAGCTCAGTCTGGGCAGCTGGAGCTTAAGTGGATTATTGAAGGTCACCTTAGTTGTGATGATTTAATCTTTCCATTTCCATCACTGTATTCTGGAAAATCTGAATCGATAAAATTTAACCAGATGGCTCAGCTTTTACCATTCAGTGTGTGTGGCAGAGGTTTTGTAAAATTCTTGCTTTTTTAGAGTGTTCTTTAGGTATGCTAGAGAGTTAGAACACAGGGTCAAAATTATACAGCCTCTTTTATGGAACCACCTACAGTTGATCTGTAAAATATTCACGTTTCACATTTTCCTTTCTTACGGCTGTAGGGTTTGTACAAATGAAGCTGGATCTTTATGAAAACAAAAATCTCTGACTTATTTTCAAAATATAATATTGTACACATAGAATTGGTGTCAAAAATATTTTTATTCACATGAACCCACACAAATCCACTCTTGAGAGTTCTTCTAAACACGCCAAACCAACTGTAGCGCAAAGCTGAGAAGTATGTCAGCCAATCAGATTGTTTCAAAACAAGCACGACTTCCCGTCGGGAATTGAACATTGCACCAGGAAGCTCAGTTGTGTGGATACTTTTAAATAGCGTGTTACGATATAAAATTAATAAAAATACAAGACTACGTCAATTGGATATTATGTCAAAGCAAGTATGCCGATATGTTGTCACATTATTTGTCGCTGACTGTAACCCTAAATCTCCAATTTACACACAAAACACAAACAGAATTTTCTCAAATTTCCACTGTGATCAGAGTTTTTATAAATAATCATTTTTAGTAGTATAAAGCAGAGTTTTCATGAGAATGAAAAACCAAAATGCATAGAAATATCTTAGTGTATCCTGCTATCTGGATATGTGTGGACTAAGCTTTATTACAAATTGTATTGAATGAGTCTCTTTGATGAAACTCCTTTAAATATACTGGTTTCAAACCGCTTGTTTAATCCTTCCTTTATAGATGGGAGATTCAACATCTGGAATAATATTGGAGTGTATACTATCTACAATCTGTGAATTTGTAGATAGTATAGACTATCAACAAATTAGAAAGAATTGTTGTCTTTCTAACAATTCTAGCAGAAATAGGACTTATCCAAAAATAAATTCTCTCTATGCAGGTTACGATCTATATGAAAACAAATGCACCAAGTGCTTTTTCATTGCTGTTTTTTTTTAAGTTGGATGTAGAGCTCTGCCTGTTTTCTTGTAATATTGCGTCCCTCTGTTGAAGACGCTGCAGTAGAGATATGTCTTGTGCTGTTGTTTTAAAGATGAAAGTCATGGGTTGCAATGGAGGAGGATAACTAGATGTAACTTAATTGTGGAAACCATGGTTTCTTCTATTATCCCTTTCTTCAAAAGACATGACTGGTTTGCTGTTTCTCTCATAATTAGATACCACAGAAATCATTTAAAGGCCCGCCCAGCTTCAGAAAGCCCTCACCACCCGCCTACCTGGCACCTCGCTGGATTTTTCCTGCCCTATCCCTGAGCTGAGGTAGCATATCCTGTATAGTGTACCTGTTACACTGCAGTACAATCTAAATGATCAATGGTGGATCAAAAAAAAGGGAGGCACTCTGCAGTAACCCAATCTGATGCCTCCTCCTTTTCCTACCACAGGAGAGGGTTTGCTCAAGCTGCAAGACAACACGACCCTCTGCCTCAGCACTTTTCTGCCCCCCTGTGTGACTCTGTGCGTGTGTGTGTTTGTGTTTGTATATGTGCGAATAAGAGAAAGTCGTGCGCATGCACGTGTCCTGGCAAAAGCTTGAATAATTGAAGAACAGAGGAGAGAGTGAAAGCACTGCCGGACGGGACAGAGTGTGTGGGATTGTGCAGAGATGGAGGAGAGGCATACACTGAAGCAGGAGCAGCCTGGCTACGACGGGCTCTGCAACTACGCCCAGAAAATCACCTCCTGCTTCGGACTGGATGGTAAGACAGAGTGGTAAAGATGAAGGAGATGGTGGTGATGGCTGTGTTTCGGTTTGGATTGTGTTGTGAAAAGAGGAGAGTCTGTGCGAGAATGTTTGTTTTCAGTGTGCAGGGGAAGCTCGTAATTTTCTAGATGTTTATGTGAATTTCTGAGACAATGGGTAGTTGTGATGGAAATACAGCAGAGTGGTTTACGACTAGAGGGAAATGTCCAATGCAGCAGAGAGCCGTGTCCCCAGCTTCTCTCAGGTGTGTGTGTTTGGGTGTGTGGGCGTAAGGTTCTTCTTGATCTGTCTCTCTTTCTGTTCTCCAGTCTAAAACTCTGCCACTGTGTTCGTAAGCAGAGGCAGACACTGTATATATTAAACTCAGATGAACTCCAGGGAAGACCGGTTTATCCTCCCTCTTAGACAAAGCAGTTTTCTGAGCCTGAACCATGCATCTCCAGACTAAAAGGTTCTTTTGTGCTTTGTCATTGTCTGCTGATTTCTATCCTGTCGCCTGTTGTCTTAATTTATTTATTTTGTTGAACCTAAAACAGAAGTGGCGTCAACCTTATCTGTCTGATTAATACTCAGCAATGGAAAAGGCTGTCGCTTTTATTTTAGCTAACAATATGCATTTAAAGAAAAAAAGAAGCAATGCTTGTGTGGCAACATCTTTTATCATTTATTCCTCCACAGAATCTTGTGGAGGGATAAATGAATAAATCTTCTTAATGTTTTACCAAGTTATCTTACTATCTTTTCAAGATTTTGCATTTGCATCAGCTGTAATTTCCTCCTCTCAATGAAAAATTAAACACATGCCAACTCGTATTTCTAAGAAACATCTCTCTAGATCTGGGTCGTGAAGAAGATTAAACATTCTTCAAACCTTCATTTACATTGAAGTTGCTTTGATTGTTTAAAAAGCTGAAATTGTTCTTCTGCTCCATGCAATTTAATTAGCCATGTGGAAGGTGCAATACCTGTGCTCCTTCCACAGGTATTTTGGGAAAGATGTGTATTTTTTAACAAGTCCATATCTTAAAGCATAGAGTGTGTTTCTATTCTGCCCCTGTTATCCATTTTGTTGTTCGGAAAATTTTCTGTTTCACAAACTTTCCAACTGTTAAGTCACAATTGGCGGCATTGTCCCTCATCTAGCAACCCAAGCGAATCTCCAACAAATTTGGTCAGCTGGTTTTACCACTATACACACTTGAACAATGGATGCTTAAAAAGACAAAAGTTTTTTGGTGACTTCCAGAAACCACTTGCTGCATTCTTAATGAGTGAATCAGATGCTCCATTTCTTCTGCTTTTGGGTCTGACTCAGAATCAAATATGCACAGCTGCACAATTGCTCATTTAATTGCAACAAAACAATGCGAATATTTTTGGACTTCACTGTACTTTTACTGATTTTCATTAATTGAAGGAGCTTTGAACTGCTGTCTGCTGAAAGAACCTTGGTTGTTGTTGACCTCTTTTGCCTTGAGTCCCTTTGATGGTGTAAACGAATCCAGTCTTAGATGTATTTTCTTATACCATCCAAAGCCATGCAGAGTGATGGGCATAGCTGATGCCTTTCTCCTGTTCTCCAGGGTAATTTAGGTAATTTAAGATGCATTCACACCAGCCCTGTTTAGTCCATTTCAAATGAACTCTGGTTCATTTGCCTAAAAAGTCTGGTTTGTTGGGGGAGCTGTGAATGTGCAATCAAATTATGATGTGGATCAAAAAAGCAAACTCTGGTCTCGATTGAAGTAAACCTTGGTAGTAGAGTTTAAGCAGGAGGGCATTCAGGGTAAATTCCATCAAAACAAACACATGATTCTATTAGTAGCGGGAGAAATGGCTCATGTCTTTTACTAATGGTGAAAGTGAAATTCTACATCTGCTAAAATCTGAGATCATGTACATTTCACAAAGAAGGAAGTTAAGATCATGTTTTTGTGTCGTTTCCTTCAGTGTTTCTTGGTGAAGCGCCACCACATGTGAGGGGCCAAACAGGTTTTTCAAAGGGTTTAATTTGTTTTACACAGTGCAGTGTGAAACCAAACCTCTACAGCTGAACATGTAACAAATGTTGCAAATTTAGTCCCCAATCAAACTGAGTGTACTGGACTATTGGGTGTGAAAAAACCCTTAAAATTTCTGGTTAACTCTAAGATTCATATTAGATTGTGGGATGAACAGTTTCTGTGGTGAACCCAAGCCCTTTAAACATAAAGGATTCAGCCAGGTTTTGAACCCACATCTTCTTTTTCTGCAAGGCAACAGTATTAACGACTACCACACTGTACTGTCCATTTAGACTGAATATTTATATTTTAGTTAGAGCAAAAATAATGCTTTTTGCATAGTTTGGGCCAAATTAGGGTTCTTTATTAAACATGTTTGGGTTATAAAGGAGTCGGGTAATGACTCTCCCACCCATCATTGGGTAAACAAACTTGGCATGGACAAACCTAACTCCACCCAGAACATAATCAGGCTGAACGTCAACCCTAAGCTGCTTATGGCATCAGACTGGTTGGGGTGAAGACACTCACAGTGCAAGCTTCTGTCTCACTTCACTTCACCTGCAGCAGGATGCTCTCTCATATCTGCTGCTTGCGATTTGATGTCTCCAGCACTTTGCTTCTCGTACCTGCAGCACATGTGAAATGGATCCCATGATTTAACGATGAGCTGGTCTGTGTTTGCTCTTCAATCTTCTCCTTATTTTCATCGTTTGGTTCTTTGACAACTCCAAGTACCTGATGTCCAAAGAGGGACAGATTTCAGAACAGCGCTGAGTCCAGAAGCAACTGATTTGTACCTGTGTTTCTGTGGGAGAGTCAAAGGGGAGCTGGGTAACCATGCCCACTCTGCCAAACCTCAACAGCCTGGGAAAGCTGTGCAGCTCCAGCCGCAGCCACAGCGTCCACCGAGTCAACCGGGTTCGGGTGAAGCGCAAGAGCTCAGTGAAGCGGATGTCCATCATCGAGGATGGACACGTAGCTGAGGTGCTCTACCTCATTCCCAAACAGTACATGGAGCAGTTTCCCTTCCTCAACCCAGATGATTATTACCTCACTGAGAGATTGAATGATGTCACTACAGGTAGGTCAAAACGCCACCTTCAACATCTGACCTTCCACAAAACTCTGTGTCTGGTCTCTAAAATAGCCCAAAAACTAACGTAATCTGTTGGTGTACCTGCTGTTTTAATGTAAACTCATACATTTTCTGTTAGTTAACTTTTATTTTTGTTATCTATTGCCATCTACAACTTGATATTTATGTTTACAATGATTTATTCAATAAATAAGAATATACTGATTAATTTATTTATTGCAGTAACTCATCAATAGCACAATATATAGATTAAGCTTTTATGTCTTTTAACTATGAGAATTTTTTGGTTAAAGGTAATAAAAATGCAATATTTAAAGTTACAATTATATCAGACCAATTAAAATATTATGAAGAATTGTGGGCTTAAAGAAAAATATGCTTAAAATAAGATAAAATAAAATTTGGTCTCTTTTGGAATAGTAGGTAGATGTGGTTTAGTGAGAAGAAGGGGTCCACTTTAGCATCAGTTGATTCGTGGAAGAATCAATTGATAATAAATAATTAGAGCCGAAATGATGAGCTTATGTGCACCAGTTATATAACGACAACTTTCCAACTGTACAGAAATAAATATTTACTGTAAAAGTCTGGAATTAATTGAGACTTTTCCAGTCATTATGTAAAGCAAACCCATGTGCGAGGACAGGTCCTCTGGATGTTGCCCAGCAGACATAGGCGATGGGGTGGCTTACATCAGGATTACAGCACTGGGCATCAGGACAAATCAAGATTTACAGATTTTACACATTCTCTGACTTCAAGCCAGACACTGCTGTAAAATGGTCCTTTTACTTTTGGCATGTTGTTTTTTTGTATGTAAATAAAGGAAGCATCTCCTTTCTGTTTTAGGACTTAGATATTTGATTTGAAACATAAACTTCAAACAGCTTTTTATGCTCACATCATTATGTAAATAATGCACCTTCTACTGCAGGCGTCTGTAATAAGTAACAAAATCATACAACCTATAATATTTTGTTTATATCTGATTGTACAAATTTGGGCTTTTAGTTATTCAAATCACTGTTATTTTTTTAAAGGTGGACCTATTATATCATATATAGCTGCAATGAGTTAGAAAAGTAAAAAATGCAGTCACTAATGGGAATTTATTTTGGATCCTGGATTGAACATGGCAGAAAATACCCTTTTCAAAACAAATTTTAAAAATATCGAAAAGATGTTTCCCCCATGTCATACGTGTAAAAATACAAATGGAATTGGCTACAAGTGTTTTAAGATATATGCACTAAAAACTAGACATACTTTGTATGATTTTGTCATAAAACAAGATAAAACTTATACAGGAGGCTGAAATCTTAGCCTCCCACTAATATTTGTTCAAATATCTCTTAGGAAAACTCATTTTTTGTAACCATCAAAAACATTCTGGTATAACTATTGTGGAACATTATGGTGCCTTTCCTATCAGAATGAGTGGAGTTAATTCAAATTTGCTTCTTTCTTGTTACAGCCCTCTATTTTAAACATAGTTCATAAATTTTTAATTGGATTAAGATCCCTGCCATTTCTCAAATTTGATGTAAATCTGGTTTGTGCAACATCAGTTCATGTTTGAACACCCATTTGTTTCCAGGTTTTAAAGCTTTGAGTGTTGATTTCAGGTGAAGTCAAAAGATTTGGAAGTATTCCTCCTTCCACTCCTCCATTATTCCACTCACTTTTTGGAATTCACTCAATCCAGAGAATTCAAAATAGACCCTCAGCATGATGGCACCACCACTGTGCTTGACTGTGGAAAAAAACGGCAGTACCTTTGTCTAATGTGAAAGTAAAACTTTTCTCCAAATGGTTTTTGGCTTCCCCGTGTTTAGAGCTGCAATTTTCAGTTTTGTTTGAAAGGGTTGATTTTGGAGCAGATGCCCTTTTCTTTACTATCATTGGGAACATTATTGTCACTTTACACTAGACAGTGATTTGGTATTCCATTCATTGTCCAGCTATTAGCATACTCTGTGTTCTTGAAGGTTGTAAGCTATTTCCTTTCTTCTGACTTGATGTCAGACAGTTTATACTTGGACAAAAGCAGAATAGCAACAATAGATTTGAAGTGAAAGAAAACTCTGTGAGGAGTGAAGCTGACTGCACATAGTTGCGTTCACAGAGGTGATTCTGTTTTGAAACCTGTTTTAAAATAACCATGAGCTTGTGAGCCATTTGTCGTTATACAACGTCAAAGAGTTTCCTCTGTGCTTTTCAAGAGTTCAGGAGTTCTTCCAAGTTGTTTCTCCTTTCCTTTTCTTATCAGCTTCTATGTGTGTGAGAGTATATCTCTCCCATGCATTCCAAGATCCTTAAATAATCAAGGCAGGGAATAACGGTGGAGCCTGTCCTCACAAAGCACTGTTGTTACTCTACATGTGACCTCATGCATCGTAATGCCAGTTTAACTTATACTCAGGAATCGGAAGCCAAGACTCAAATTGTGTGGTTTTCCTTCACCGAAATGATCGAGTTATCACTGGAGAGGTCATTAGTAAAAAGTCAGACATGAATCATTGACATGTAAAACACAACAGAAACCTTTCATCCAAGGATAATTGTTGCTCTTGGCAAACTCCTGGCGAGCCCAAATGTCCTTCAGCTCGGATGAAGATTATTAAAAGCGGCAGGATGATAATGGGCCTCTTAAAGTAGACACGGTAACAAGATATCTTTGAGTTGCTGTTAGTGGCTGCAGTAGAAAACTCCCACTTTTTACTGACCTTCTCATGGCTTTACGCACTCCTAAAACACCTCCCTGTCTTCATAATAAAATAGGGTGGAGTGCAGGGAGCATTCACCACCAGGAACTGTATTTTTTTTCCATTAACCTCACTGGCAAGACTCAGTTGCCTTATGTCAACGTCTTGTGGAAACAAATGCACGCTGACGGGCATCCAGAAGATGGCACAGTTTTTCCCCACACTGAATGAAACACCCGCCATGCATGATGAGAAGCTCCCTCAGCAAATACGGAGAAGGTAACTGCTGACAAACGCCTTCTCTTTTTTTAGACGCAGAGAAGTACAGATGAATCAGTAACCGCTTGGCCCATAATTGCTGCTGCTTGGGAATTTAGATTTTCCTAGTGGTGTTCGTATAAAGTCGATTGTTAACAGGACAAGCGGTTTTCTCTCAAGAGAGCAAACCTTAACACATCACAGCCCGAATTTGCTGGACTCAGGCTAAGTCTTAGTGTTGAAGGAGATTAATCGTGGTTATTTTATGTAAAGAGACAAAAAGAAAAAGTGTCAGTTTTTCAAAGAAAGACACGAGGTAAAAGTTGGGATGTTCACTGGAGTCTGTTCCTGCTCTAATTGGATTTCCAAGGATCCACTGAAGATATTCACACAAAGCTCATGCCAGCAATTATGATAAGTCTAACCTGCGACCTTAGATGGTCACTTTTGCTCTCCAATGAACTGATTGGACAGCGAAGGACTGTATGGGGATTGGCAGAACGGTCCACAACTAAATTCATAAACTTTAGATTCCATCAATGTAGTATTAAGCATGACCAGTTAATAATTCTTTTTCTGAAGCATTTTACTTTTAATTAGCCTCAGTGATTAGTGTAGGTTTTATGTCCCTCCATTGATCCTTCTGTTGTCTTCCACTGAAACATGCATAAGTCGACACTAGGAGGTGCTAGAGTGCCTGCCTTGTTTTCTGTGGACAAAATAAGTGCCCTTCTGAAATCTTTTATTTTATTAAAATATTCTGTCCCATGTATCTATCTTAATTGACTTTTTATTTTGGCTTATTTACCTAAAACTAACCATAGATACTTTTTTCATTTCTTTTTTTTTTTTTTTGTTTTACTGAATTTTACATTTTCATAAAACTAATTGTAATAAGTTGTATTAGTGACTCCTTATGTGAGATACCACTATTTTTTTTAAGTTTTATTTTTTTCCAAAGTAAGTTATGGATTGCTAACTAGCATGCAGATCAATGGCTTTCATGGTGTTTAAAATTGTACAATTTAATTTCATAATGTATCTTTTTTTATTGTGGTGCGTGAATGGATATTATTTAAATTCTACATAACCTTACATTAAAATAAAACATACAGGGAATGTAAATATTTCTAATAAAATTTTTTATATATTGTTTAAATAAATAAAAAATCACTTTGTTATTACTCTATTTTATCATTGTAAATTAATTTATTATTCTTAATTCACTTAATTTCCTTTATAGAAAGTTTTCAATGAAAATCTATCTTTCATGAATAATAAATGTAAATGTAAATATTCATGTTTATAGGGCAATTCATTTACCCTATCAACAGACAATGAATAAATAAATTGTCTGTTTATTCATTGGTATTTTCTGCTTTAATATATTAAGTTGTTTATTTTTTTAATGAAATTCAGTTTTATTGTTTGTTGTGTTCCTTAACAAACACAATGTTGTAAAAATGTCACTACTGTCACAATTTTTTTTTATTATGTCATTTCTTCATTAACAGATATAATTACATTATATAACAGCTTGCTACAATAACAATATCTGCGTTTATGCCACTTTTGCATTGTTAGCGTCATGCTAAATGCTAATTGAAAATTAATAAATTTTATGCAGAAGGTCTGATAAATTCATAACCATCATAAAGTCTAAAATGCTGTTTTAGTCAATTAAGAAATTAAGAAGTCACAAATAGAAAAAAATAGAAGAGAGACAATTTTCCTAGTTAATTTGGACCCAAAAAATGAAATAAAAAAAAAAAAACATGGTTCCCCATCTTTTGAACTGATGTGTTTTGATTATTTGGGGTCATAGAGCAGCAGCGAGCACTTTGTTGCAGCAATGAGGGCGAGTCTGACACAACTGAGGGGCTGGGAGAGAGGGAGCAGGAGGGGAAGAGTAGGGAAGAGTGGGAGGAGGAGAATAAAGTAGGAGGAGAGGTGGGAGAAAAGCAGTCAGGAGGCAAACCCCACGCTGTCGCTGTGTTTTCGGGAGGAGAGCTTGGAAGCGCC